CCTGCCCGCGCCCACCGCCTACTACGCGACCGGCGCGTCGTCGTGCGGCGCCCTAGAAGCCAATCTCCCCACAATCTCCACACAATCTCCACACAATCTGCCACAATGACGCGACCGGCGCGTCGTCGTGCGGCGCCCTAGAAGCCAATCTCCCCACAATCTCCACACAATCTCCACACAATCTGCCACAATGACGCGACCGGCGCGTCGTCGTGCGGCGCCCTAGAAGCCAATCTCCCCACAATCTCCCCACAATCTCCCCACAATCTCCCCACAATCTCCCACGTCGTCGTGCTGCTTGTACTCCGACTAGCGGGACCGCGTGCTCTGCTGTGTTCCGCCGCATTCCGCTGAATTCACTGTCCTCGCCTCCCTCGTATTCACGCGGTGCCCTGAGGACTCTGCACAAGGCCGTCCTCCCGCCCCGAGGCTGGCGCAACCATCACGTAGGCTGCCCATCTCTCCCCATCTCTCCCCATCTCTCCCCATCTCTCCCCATCTCTCCCCATCTCTCCCCATCTCTCCCCATCTCTCCCCATCTCTCCCCATCTCTCCCCATCTCTCCCCATCTCTCCCCATATCTCCCGAGGCTGGCGCATCCATCGCGTAGGCTGCCCATATCTCCCCATATCTCCCCATATCTCCCCATATCTCCCGCCCCGAGGCTGGCGCAACCATCACGTAGGCTGCCCATCTCTCCCCATCTCTCCCCATATCTCCCCATATCTCCCCATATCTCCCCATCTCTCCCCATCTCTCCCCATCTCTCCCCATCTCTCCCCATCTCTCCCCATCTCTCCCCATCTCTCCCCATATCTCCCGCCCCGAGGCTGGCGCAACCATCGCGTAGGCTGCCCATATCTCCCCATCTCTCCCCATCTCTCCCCATCTCTCCCCATCTCTCCCCATCTCTCCCCATATCTCCCCATATCTCCTCCTCGTAGGTACGGCGGCCCGTCGCGCGCTCCGAAGGGAGTCAAGCAGCGGCGCACGCGGGGGGGGCTGCCGCCGGCCTGGCTGGTCGACGTGAGCAGCTTGGATGTGCAAGGCAAGGCGCGGCGCTTTAGGAGGGGAGCCCGCACGGATTGTACCAGCGTCGAGACGCACGTCTTCGGCCGCCTTGTCGCCGTTTCCCAAGCCCTCCTCTCTGTACTCGCACCCGGCGTGGCCACGCACAAACACAACCCCGGGACCCAAGACGCACAAGCACAGGCAGTCGAGAAGGGAGAGAGACAGCGGCGGCAGTCAGAAGGCAGCGCTGGGTACCAGGAAGGCGAATGCGAGGACGGCCTCTAGTGCGAGCTCTAGACTAGTGAGCTCGTACGCACGCCGGTAGATCGCGACGAGATACGCCTCGTGTTCACGCGGTGCTACGGCGTACGCGGCACGGAAGCCGCACTTGCGACCTCGGAGAGTGTGGGAGATTTGTGGGAGATTGTGGGGCCGCACTCTCGACCTCGGCGCATCCGCGGCGCAGGCGCGCGACGGCTCTCTCGACTCGCTGAGCGTCAAGGAGCTCAAGTCGTTCCTCTACTACCGCGACGCTGCCCTCTCGGGCCCCAAGAAGACACTCGTGGGCCGCATCGAGGAGGTGACGCGAGATCACCGCGAGATCAAGCGAGATCAAGCGAGATCGCCCGAGGCCCGCATCGAGGAGGTGACGCGAGATCACCGCGAGATCAAGCGAGATCACCCCGAGATCAAGCGAGATCACCCGAGGCCCGCATCGAGGAGGTGACCGAGTCTCGGCCCTCGCATCTCGGCCGCATCTCGGCCGCATCTCGGCCGCATCTCGGCCGCATCTCGGCCGCATCTCGGCCGCATCTCGGCCGCATCTCGGCCGCATCTCGGCCGCATCTCGGCCGCATCTTGGTTTTGTCTCGGCCGTGCCTCGGCAGGTGATTGAGCGGGAGGCGCAGGCGGAGGAGCAGCGAGAGCAGCGAGCCAGTTCCGAGCAGCTCGCGCCGCCGCCGCCGCCGCCGCCGCCGCCGCTCGCGCCGCCGCCGCTCGCGCCGCCGCCGCCGCCAGTCAACGGCGCCAGCGCGGCCGCCAGCGACCCGCTGCTCTCGTTGCTTGGCGACGGCGGCGACGAGGGCGACGGCGGGGACGAGTTTCTGATCGACGAGGTTTTTGCGGAGATGTGAGCGCGGCCGTCAGCGGAAGGCGGCTGTCTGCGACAACTGCAGCGCCCGGCCGCCGCCGCTGCTTGCGGCTTGCGGGGACACGCACCGGCACGCCCCTTGCCCTTGGCTCAGCATTTGCGGAAATCGGGCGATGCCCAGTACCTGTTGTCTCAGACGTCTGCGCCGCATGGGCGTGCGAGTGGTCTACACGTCTCGCATAACCGCATGTCCGCACGACGCGGATGGGGTCAGTCGCGGATGGGGTCAGAAAAAAGAAGTTAATGATAATCGCAAACTGGGCAACGGGGGACGGCGGCCGCCCACGGCGCACGGGCGCTCGGGGGCGCGGGCCGTGGCACGGCCGCCACCCGTGGCCCGGGGGGCGGGGCGCAGGGGGCGACCCGACCCAGAGCGCAGAGGCGCGCCGCGCGTCACAGAATGGTGAGAGAGAGATGTGAGGACGATGTCGATCATATAAACAGCTAGCCGAGGGTGCGGCAGCGGGCAGGAGAAAAAACGACGAGAGGGCTCCAGCCTCCACGATTGCCGTCTCTTTCTCTCGAGGTCTCGAGGTGGCTTCGTGGCCTATCGACGACAATCAACGAGTACCCCTCCCCATTCTCACTTGCTCGCCTCCGCCTCGGCCTGCGCCGACATCTCTCGAAACATGTCCCCATAGGACTTCCTCGGCGCTGTGGCGCTCGCCGCCGCAGTCTCGCTGCCTCTCGCCGTCGCTGCGATCGCCTCCGCGATGTCTGCCGCCCGCGCAGATCCGCCCGCGCCGGCGATCAGCGCTCCCATCTCTCGTGCCTTGGCACGAAACTTTTCCTGCTCAAAGACGCTGCGCATCGCCGCGCGGAGGTCCTGGACGTACCTTGCCAACACAGCCTCGGTATCCTCCTCGGGTCTTGCCACCGCGAGACCCACCCCCATCGCCTCCGCTTTTCGGCCATTGACAGGCTGGTCGGCAAAGCCCGGGACAACCACCAGCGGGACGCCGTTCGCCATGCTCTCCATGAAGGAGTTCTGGCCACCTTCAGTGCAGCGGGCCACGCGGTGGGCTCTCAGTCTCGAAGGCCCCTCCCGCTCGGTGCAAGGAGTGGCGATGGCGCTCCCCGCTATCTCTGCTGTCGCGCACCGTGCGTCACAAACATGTCCACAAGGCCCGACTGGAGGATGTCCACCTGCGCCACGTAACTACGGCAGAGCGCATTGGGCGGAACGGAGAGGCCCTCCAACGCGTCCAACTGGGGGCCCGCGCTCACAATCAGCAGTGGCGCGCCCTCCTCGCACGCCTGCGCGTACGAGCTCCGGCCCTCGCCGCGCTCACTGGCGCCAAACTCCTCAAAAGCTGCTGTGAAGACGCTCTGGCAGAGCTGCTTCCCAGTGATGCCGTACTCCTTACCCTCCGCGTCAGTGAGCCTCGCCGTCCAGCCCGACATTGGCCTATAGGAGGCGTAGCACAGTGGACAGGGTATCCCCGAGCTGCTGGACGTGTGGTGACACCGGACGCGCGCGCATGTCGGACGTGATGACGGTCCCGAGGCTGATGTAGATCGCGACGACCGAGGCGTTCAGCTGCTTCGCCTCCTGCAGAGCGGCGAGCGGCGCGTCGCTCGAATCCGTCAGGTCCGAGCGATGTCGGTGGAGCTTGGGCTCATCGTCCTCCGGCTCCTCGTTGTGCGCGTCGAAGATGAAGCCGCCAGCCCGCTTGGCCCCCTTGACGTCCAGACTCGGGCCGATGTACGTGAAGCGAACGTCCGCCGCGCGGAGAGCCTCCGAGACGTTGTCGCTGATAGGGTCGCGGAGCGGCTCGATGGTGGTGACGAGAGTCATCGCCCGAGGCCCGCCGATATACTGCCAGGTGCCGCACGAGAAGGGATGACTGGGGAGCTCGAGGCTGGGGTACCGCTCGCGCAATCGCGCGACGGCCTTGGCGCCGTCCTCGTCGTCAAACGAGAGCCTGTCCATGTCTTCGAGAGTCATGCCCTCGTTGCTGGCCATCTCTCTCGTGAGCACCTCCATCGAACCGGGGCCCGCGACTGTGCACAACGCCACCGCAGGCAGGTTGAGGAGTCGGCAGGCGTGGGCGACAACGCCCAGCATGAGGTTGTCGTACACCGCAGCGTCAAACTTGAGCGCGCCATTCTCCTCGCTAAAGAAGCGGAGGAAGGCAGGGAGTTGGCGCTCGATTGCAATGTTGTGCGTGGCAGCCCACTGCTTAATATTCCCATACCCGTGAGCCGCGTCCTTCCCGAACTCTGTCGCCAGCGCCAGAAAGGCGGACATAAAGTTCTCTGCGCGAGGCTTTGCCGGATCCGGCTGCATAAGCTCGCTCAGCTCCTCAACCTCGTCAACGAAGGCGGCGCCGGTCGCCTCGATAGCGCCCTTGAAGACCGCGCTTGAGAGGTACGTGACGCTATGGCCGCGCTTGACGAGTTGGCGCGCGATCGGGAAAGAGGGGTTCGTGTGCCCGGATGCGGTCGAGAAGCAAAACGCAAAGCGCTTCCCGGCCTCGGGCATTCAGGAATCGTATACTGCACGCAGGGACGACGTCAAGGCAAGTCGTCCGACAACCGGGGGCGCGAGTCGGAACATCGGCAGACCAGACGAGAACAAGGACGGCCGGTCACCTGCCAGAGTCCGGGCAGGCAGCACCCGCTGGCCAATTCTCGAGTACCGAGCCCGCAGCTGTACGTGTTGTGACGCTATGGCATTCAGGAATCGTATACTGCACGCAGGACGACACGTCAATTTAAGTCTTCCGACAACCGGGGGCGAGTCCGGAACATCGGCAGACCAGAACGAGAACACGGACCGCCGGTGCTGCCAGAGTCCGGGCAGGCAGCACCGACGGTAGAGAGCCGTGTACGCGGCATGTTCCTACGTCCATAGTGTTAATTGTGCACTTGGAGAGACCACAGAGAACTCCCATGCAACTCGGCCTTCTCCTCCACCTCCTCCCGCTCACCGCCTCCGCGGCGGAGCAGCGCTCACGCTGCCGCCGCTCGTCGGGGCTTATCAGTCCGCGCTCGCGGCGGCGCCCATCACGACAAACGTGCTGTCGGCCGCCAGCCTGCCGGTGCGGCGCCGAGCTGCCTCCAACCTGAGCTCCTCTTCGTGCATGCGCACACAGTCCTATCCCGTATCGGGCAGTTGGTGGCACATATCGAAGGACGAGAAGGCGGAGGCGGCAAAGGCGAAGCGCGAGGCAAGGAAATTCACTCGCCGACTTTGCCACGCGACCCTGTTGCCCGCCCATGCCAAGGCGTCAGCTTCCGCGGTCTCTGGACTCTGCTGTGGCCACCGATGTGAATATCTCTCGCTCCGATGTGGAGGCAGCAGTTGATGCGGTTGCGGTAGGAGAATTCGGGCATCGCACGATGGTTGCATTAGTTCCGGAGGGCATTTCTCCCGGCAAGATCTTCGAGTCGTCCACGATGCGACAGCTCATATGTGAAAGAAACAAAGCTATATTCTTTTTACTGGTGTGCGTGCCAGTGCGTGCCAGCCCCGTTGCCTCGAGCCCGAGACCCGCGTTTGGTGAGAGTTTTGTTTTGACGGCTCGAAATTCTTTTTCTGGGGGGTACTCGAGTACGAGTTGAGGTTGGGCCTAGGAGGTTGGGTGCTTCCGGAGCACTCGCGCTGCTTGCTCAGGCTGCCCGAGCAGTCTGATGTTCTCAATTCTGCGTACCTGGTCTTCGGACAGCGGTGAACGCCAGCGCTTGACTGAAACCGACACCACAGGTGACGGCGTCGAGCTTGGGCGGCCACACCGGCGCTTGACTGACACCGACACCACAGACGACGGCGTGGAGCTTGGGCGGCCATCGCTTGATCCGGAGCCCTCCGCTTGGTATCTGAGGCGCGTCCTTGAGCGACCGCTCGCCCGCACAGAGCAAGAGCTGTCCGGTGGATTTCACTCGTGGACGGTTGTGATGGCCACCGCTCCAGGGGCAAATCCCTGCGTGTCGGCCGCGCTGCTCATACTGTCAATCATGCTTTTGGCCGTGCAGTCGAACTTTATGGTGGCGGTTGCCTACGAGTCGGCATACTCGTCGTGCACGGACCACCAGGACTGCCCAACCGGAGAGTGGTGCGTCCCGGCGGGCTTTATGGCGCCCATTGTCGACCGGCGACCACTACACGCGGAGGCGCCTGGCGTGTGCGGCGACTGCCACTACTCGAACCTTCTCGAGTTTCCTTGGGCCAACACGAGCTTCGCTGTCGGGCCAGGGTGGTTTGACGGCGACGAGGTGCAGGAGTTGAGCGGCGACAAATGGCAGCACGACGGCGCGGCGTATTGCAACAACACGGATACCATCGCGATGCGCTGCGACCACATCGTCAAGCGCCAGAGCCGTCTCACCACGAGACACATCTTTGTTCTCATCGTCGTAGCGCTGCTGATCCTGATCCCGCTGACCGAGGACTGGGACGAAGCCGCGCTCGAGAAGAGCCTCTTCCAACAGCGCACCCGCGGTCTCTCGCGCTGGTCGCTCCTGCGGGCGCTCATGTGGGTGTCTCTTCGCATGCGGTTGTTCATCTTGCCGCTCAACATCCTGAGTGCGACCCTTGCCCTGTTTCTGCAAGACGAGACCATCACCGACCTCGTTCTCGATGGGCTCGCAATCACTTTCATGACGTACATCGACAACTTGGTCGCGCTCTTTTGTTTGCCTCGAAGCCATCTCCGTTCGACTGCCGCAGCGATTGCTGTGGTCCGGCAAGGAGAGGACGAGGCTGCCTCCGGCTCTGCCGACGCGCGTCGGCACTTTATGCGATGGTTGTTTCATCGTGTGTATGCTGCTGTGATGGGGGTGACTCTCATAGTGATCAGTATCCAGCCCGAAGCACTCATGGTGGCGATCAATGCGTACGGGGGGGTGCCGATTTGCGACAGCATCATCGACACGATCTACAGCGGTCTTGGATCAGGTATCCATCTCCCAGTGGTCTTGGCCATGGCTGGCTCTTGGGCAATCGTGCGCGAGCGATCCTTCGTCTGCGTCTCTTATGGGCGGCAACTTGCGTTCGCGGCCTGCGACGCGTACTTCACCATGTTTTTTGTTTATGCGACAACATTTCTCAATCCGGCAGACCCTTATGCGCTTCAATTCTTGCAGGACCCAATGTCAGTCGTGCTCCGCTGGCCACAAGACATGATGCTGCTCCTGTCGTTCCTTTTTGCGGAGCAGGCGAGGAAAGCTCCGTGGACTGTCGAGTTGGAAGGCGCCTATACCCTTGCTGACGATGTCGTCCCTAACCCTGACTGCGGCTGCGTGGTCCTCTCCAGCCCCTGGCTCGTGATCAGACTTTCCCTCCTCGCGGCGGTCGTCTGCCTGGTGGTGGTGCGGGTTCGAGTGTCGAGTTCTGTCTCCGGGGAGTGCAACTCCACCGGCCGAGCTCGAGTGCACCCTCACCGGGACGACAGCAGTCGTTCGGCGCCAGACGGCGGCGCCACGGCTGGCGCCTGCCCCGGTGAAGGGGTGCCACCCCCGTTTGAGCGCGGAGGCTCAGAGCCGGAGGGTGGCTGGCTCATGTAGGACTGTAAAGGACCAGAGAGGCACGACGTCTAGGACATCGCGACAGACAAGACGCGCCGACTAAGGGACGTCGACGTGACACGATTGTGGCACAGAGGGTGTGATACTGGAGTATCGACATTCATGGGGCACGGCGCAGGATGCGCCGTGCTAGTACACCGTGTGTAGCGTGTGTGAATGGTAGCACAGGCGTCCGAATTCCGAGACGACCCCTATGTTAGACGACTCGTCCGAATCTAGATGGAGGAAAGGCGAAGTTTCCGGGATCTGCCGGGAAAACACAATGCCCCCTAAGCTATGACACACACACTCTGCCATGTGGTGTTATTGGTATTTTTTATGACAGCGCCTTTGGCCTTACCCCCCCGTCCCCCACTTCGGGATGCCGAGACAGCAGAGCCTGCGGTGGCTGCGCGGCGCGCCCGGCGCTATTTCGAGCCGGGCGCCGTCGCCGAGGCCCTCGTGGCGATCGGGTCGGCCGTTTTGCTGTGGATGGGCTGGTGGAACCTGACTTACATCCTGCTGCCGCCGCAGTGGTACTGGTGTGCCGCAGAGATCATTGTTGGGATCCTCGGACTGTTTGCGACGCGCTCGATGTACGACAAGGCGATGCTGAGGGACAGTCGCGCCGACGGTCGCGCCGACACGTCGCTCGAATCGATCAAGGTGGAAGTGCCGTCGGATGCCGGCGGCGCACGCGTCTGGACCGGCGAGCAGCTTGCCACACGAGCCTCCGCGTCGCGCGGCGCGGCGGCCGGCAACGCGGAGGAGGGCTATGAGGAGCATCTCGCAGCGTGGAGGTCGCATCTTGCGGCGTGGAGCGCCGCCGGCCCGCGAGCCAATAGCGACGAGGCTGAAACTCTCGCCACGCCGCAGCCGACACCACCGCCAAGAACGAGGCGCAACCGCCGGCGACGCTACTTCGACGCTCCGAGGCCCGACGCGCGGCGGGGCTGCCGGGCGCTCTTTGCGCTGCTGATGGGCCTCTCGGTGTGGACGGGCTTCTGGAACGGCGTTGCTCTCTGCCTCCCAGCCGAGGTCGTTGCCTGCTGCGCGAGCGCCGAGGCCGACCCGGGCCCCAAGCAGCTTGTCCGCGCGCCGTGGTGCGTGCTGGCGAAAGTTACACTGATGGCCCTTGGCACGTGCGGGCTGTGGGCCACACGCTCGCTTTACGGCGACAGGCAGGTCCACGGCGCGCAACACCAGCGTATGAGATAGATAGAGTCTTGACTTTGGCTTGTGGCGTTGAACAGGCGATCCATAGAGTGAGTGAGAGAGTCAACTCAACAGGCCACACAGCCATGCGCTCAGCAGTATTGTCTCCTATTTGTCGAAAGGTGAATAACAGTCCTCCGGACGGCACAATTCTTGTTCCGTCGTGCGCGAGGGAGAGTTTGGTTGTAAAATTCTTTTGAGCTAGCCTTCGATGTTATGAAACAAAAAAAATCTCGTGGATGTCGCCGAAATGCACACAGAGCCCTGCCACTCTCGACGGCGTCCACCTCTCACGCTGCTGCTGCGTGGCTTCGCCGCCGGGCTGCTGCTGCTGCTGCTCGCGCTATCGATACGCATACACAGAGGAGCGCTCTCGGGCGAGCCGACCGCTCTCGAGTCCTCCAGCGCCCTCGCAGCGGCCTCCTCCGCCTTCACGCGAACTGCAAACAGGGCGTCTGAGGCTGCGTCAGCGGCCTCCTCCGCCTTCACGCGAACTGCGAACAGGGCGTCTGAGGCCGCGTCCGACACATTCGCCGGTTCACTCCGCCCTCCGGCCTGCCTCCTGGGACCACGTGCGAGTACCTCCCGCCGTGGCTCGAAGCGGCCATGAACAGCATGGTGGCCAAGGCGGTCCAGCTGGTGACGCGCTACCCCACCCTCTCGCATCTTCCCATCTTCAGTGGACGCCGGGTACGCCTACAGTACAGCGAGCGCCCCCAGGTAAGCGCGCGAGCGCGAGAGTTGCAGCGCGAGAGTTGCAGCGCGAGAGTTGCGGCAAGCCTTACTCGCCGAAAAAAGTTGCGGCAAGCCTTACCCGCGAGCGCGTACGGCCGCAGCTGGCGGAGCGGCGCCCGCCCGCCCTCTCGGTCGAGCAGAGGCCGTCATGGTACGCCCCGCGGGAGCAGCCAGGCGTGCTGCACGGGAGCCGCGCCTGCGTCACCTGCGCCGCCGCTTGGCGTTGACGCGCTTCTGGCGCCACAGCGCGCTGTCGCCATGCGCGTTGCAGTGCGCTGGGTCCCCGCCCCTCCAGTGGCGGCACTCGGACACGCGCGCGTCGCAAACGAGGCAGTAGCAGTTCGGCCGCAGGCCGCCTCGTTGCCGTCGACTGGCGCCGCGACCGGCCTCGCGGTCGCATGGAAGGGGTGGAGCGGGCAGAGCGCCCGCTGGTGCGGCAGGTGCTCGGGCAGCTGGCCTGCACATGCAAACCAGAGGCAGTGAGGGGCCATCTCAACGGCGGCAGCGGAAGGAGAGAGAGGCTGGGCACGAGCCGGAACAGGCGGTGAAACGTCAATGAAACCGATGAAACCGACGGGTACAGTCCGCGAAGCGACTCCATTCAGATTTTGGGGGCCGCACAGGGGTCCCAACGCAATATTTTGGCTCCTGTCCAATCCCAACGCAATATTTTGGCTCCTGTCCAACGACACCTAAACGTCATGGACGCGTCCTCGTCGGACTCCGCCACCGCATCGGACTCCGTGTTCGCTTCCGCCGAGTTCCAGGAGTACGAGCGCGAGTTTCGGCAGTACTGCGCAGACAACCTGCGCTCACACAACCCACAGACCGACTTCGACAGCATACGCCGTGACTCGGCCGAGGACCTTGCGGCCAAGCTTGCGGTGCTTTCGCAGTGGTGGCGTTCTGCTGCGCACGTGGTTGTGTTCACTGGTGCAGGTATCAGCACGTCAAGTGGTCTTCCAGACTATCGGGGCCCGAGTGGCATCTGGACACGCAAGGTGCGCGGCGAGACAGTGTCGGAATCGCTGGACCTACGAGGCATCGAACCAACTCCAGCCCACGGTGCTCTCACTCGACTGTACCAGGCCGGCAAGCTTGCTCTCGTGGCGACGACAAATGACGACTCCCTGCATGGCAAGGCAGGGCTGCCGAAGCACGCCCTGGTCGAGCTTCACGGCAACCTGTTTGTCGAGGAGTGCGCACAATGTGGTGCGCGCTATGAGCGACCCTTCAAGGTGCGCACGGCGACAGGGCTGTTTGAGCACGCCACTGGGCGACCTTGCGAGAAGTGCGGCGGTCCGCTTCGGGACAACCTCGTCAATTTCGGTAATACATTCGAGCATGTGCCGAGCATGGAGGCAGAGCATGATCGCGCGTGGGTAGCGATGCTGAAGGCAGACTTGGTCGTCGTGCTTGGCAGCAGCCTGAGCGTGCCGACCGCGTGCGAACTTCCAGAGGAATGCATACCGCCGCGCGAGGCGAAGCCAGCAGGCGGCAGGCTGGTCATCGTGAGCTTTCAGAACACGCCGAAGGATCCGCTCGCCGCGCTGCACATCTTTGCTCCATGTGACGACGTGATGGCCGCAGTCGAAGCTGCACTGCTGCCTGCTGCACCAACACCTGAGCGGCTGGGTGTGGATGCCTAATGAGATTCCTTTGAGTTTTCAAGAGCGATGCGGCAGTAGAATTTAACCTTCGTAGAAATCCTACTTGGGGCTTTGGTCGGTCGGTGTGCCGTCGGACTCGGGCGGCCGGTGGGCGAGGACGGGACCAATCCAATAAAGCCTTCGAGACAAAAATATGCACGCCATGCAAGTTGAGGATGGAGGGCGAACCTCACTGGCCAAGCAAGAAGTATAAATAGAGCAGACATCTCCAGGAGAGATGGGCGACGCATGAACACAGAGGGACAGTGCGCACCCCGCCCCGCTCGCAGGGCGTGCAGCACACAGCAACACAAGACATATCTAGGATCGAACCATAACACTTTGGCGGCGGAGAATTCTTTCTTCAAGATTCGGCCGATCCGGGAGATGTCTTGTATTTTAGATTTGCGCAGCAACCCAGCCGGGCAACCTTTGAAAAAAGTTATCTCGCCCAGATTCGGCCGCCGCGCCGCGCCGCCGCCCGATGATTAATAATTAATAATTATTACCCGATAATTAATATGTGTGTTTATTGGTGTGTGTGTGTGTGTGTGTGTGTGTGTGTGTGTGTGTGTGTGTGTGTGTGTGTGTGTGTGTTTGTTCGCGCGATGGCAGGGAAGGGCAGGGCAGCCGCGAGCGGCAAGTGGCGTCGGCGACGCGGCGCGGACCCGATGGTGACGCCCACAATGGCGAAAATAAATAAATAAATAAAACGGACACACCAAACAAGGGCTGGGAGAAGGACAGGGTCCCCACCTGCGCGAGCAGGATCTTGTAAGGACGATCAGGGACACAGGGGAACGGGAGCGGGAAGCGCGCACATGCGCCGCAAGAATTCTTTCTGGGGAATCGTTCGGCCGATCCGCTTCTCGAGCACGCGAGCTGGGCCTGAGCTCCATGAGGGTAATGTCCTGCCGTCCACAAGCTCGCGCCCCCGCCCGCCCGCAGACGGCACAACGCTGCCGGTCGCCGCCCTCCGGCCTCTCCCCCTACCCCGCGCCCCTCCCTCCCCGCAGGGCAACTGGCCCCTGCTGCTGGCGGGCCTCGCCGGCGCCAGCGCGCTCTCGTGGGGTCCCTTCCGGAGCCCGGTGGCCTCCAAGCCGGGCGCCGCAGCCTCGCCGGCGGTGCTGCGCACGCCGGCCGATGCAACGTCGCGCAGCGGTGCCCGCCGCCCGCTCCCGCGCATGCGAGCCTCTGCACGGCCGGCGGTCGACCAACGCCGTCGTCACGACACGCAGGCATCTCCTCGGTCCGCGCGGTGGCGGAGCCGCTGTCGACTGCGGCCACGTACCAGGCCGACCTCGAGGAGCGAATGAACTCGTACATTCGCGAGCGGGGCGGTGACACGCTCATCCGCCGCGTGCTGATTGCCAACAACGGCATGGCGGCAACAAAGACCATCATGTCGATCCGCAAGTGGGCCTACAAGACGTTTGGCGACGAGAACGCGATCGAGTTCATCGTGATGGCCTCGGCGGAGGACCTCGCCGCCAACGCCGAGTTTATCCGCCGCGCCAACGAGTTTGTCGAGGCGCGCCACCACACCGATCAGCACCGCGGGCCGGCTGAAAGCTTCAGTCGTCCGCCGCCGCCAGACGCCGCCGCCGCCGCCGCCGCCCCCCTCCCGCCCTCGATTCCGGCGGCGGCGACCCAGCCGGCCGCCCCCGCCCGCCGCCAGGTCCCCGCGGGCTCCAACGCAAACAACTACGCCAACGTCCAGCTCATCGTCGACCTCTGCGTCTCGCAAAACGTCGACGCGATTTTCGTCGGCTGGGGCCACGCGTCCGAGAACCCAAAGCTGGGCGAGATGCTCAAGCAAAAGACGGAGGAGCCCCCCCCCCCCC